AGCTCTCAGCCAGCATCCAGCTGAATCTACTCAAGCCCTCAGGTCTCCAGAATCACCTGTGCGAAGATGCAGGCATCAACTGAGGGCTGAGTTAAAGGAAAGTGCTAGGCTTATGGCATGCAGACATCTGACACAGGACTCTGACAGTCTGCCAGCTGAAGATAAACACGAGGAAGACAGAGAGCTGGTTGTGGACCCAAACTTGTGCATTCCTGAGCTGAACTGCTGACATTTTGAATCTGGCTCCTTGGCTTCTGGACCCTTAGACTAGACTCCGACTTTCTGACCTCTGCATTCCTGACCCACAGCTTGTGCTTGGACTACACTCTTTGAATGCTGAATCTCAGCAGCTTCTGGCCTTGCAGCTGCTGTAATCTGTTCCCTGGCCAAGCCAGCACATCCATGGACAGAAATCCTGAGGTCAAAGAAAGTGCAAAAGGGCTGAGAACAGTTCAAAAACAAGGTACTGGAAGTACAGTTGCAAACTAAGGAAGCACTAGCAAGTACTTAATGTTTGAAAAAGAAAGTCTAAAGCACAAAAGAAATTTAGACTTGCAAAGGAAGCTCAAAGCAATAAAAAGGGCTTTTTGGACTATGTCAGTAGTAAGAAGAATAAAAAGGAAGGGCCTGCTGTTTGGAGGAGGCTGTAAGATGTAACAGAGTGGGGAGAGGACAGGCAGAACAGAAGTCTTCAACCCCTGCTTTGGTTTGAGGGGGAAATGTGTTCAAATGGATCTAAACATAAAACTGACACAAGGACAGCATGGCAACCCAAGGGAAGTAAAGAACCACCTGGAAGCAAGGAAGCACCTGGCTGCCATGAATGAACTGAACCTGTTTTGTTTTGAGCTCAAAACAAAGCACACCACATGGAATATTCTACCGGAACATTCCAAATTGGCTACATTGCAATGGAATATTCAAAATAGTTTGAATACTGGTGTTCATCATAACAAACTTTTAAACAGTTTTTGTATTCTAGTCATTAAAAAAAGGGAACTTGGTATGAGTCCCTTGCTTATAGTCCTTGACTTGTGACAGCAATTGGGACCAGAATTTCTGTCGCTTAGTGAGGCAGTCATAAAGCACGACTGCATCGCTTAGCAATGGCAATCCCTGCAGTCCCAGTTGCTGCTGTTAACTGAATCCCATGGTTGTTAGGCAAAGCAACTTCCTACTGGCTTCCCACAACCAGTCACTGGGAAAGCCAGCAGGAAGTTGCAAGTCCTCCCAGGCCAACGGGCAGTTAAGAGCTTTCTGCCAGGTGGAGGATGGAGCGAGAGGGTCCACGGGGGTACAGGGGAGGGTTGGAGGGGGTGCGCAAGGGTGTAAGGGGTTGCACAAGAGGCATGGAGTGGGTGCATGAGAGGTGCAGCACAGGTTAGGGAGGGTGCGCAAGGGTTCATTACGTTTAGAACGTGGACAGTAAGGATTATACTATTATGAAAATCCACCATTTGGAAAATGCTGATAAATTCTGGATGGATTTTTATAATATCCAGAAAGGACAATAGGAAAAGTAAATAGGATTTAGGGACAGTGACCACATTTGGAATTTTGAGAGAATGATATTTTCACAAGTTGGATGCCTTGAGGAAGCTTGCCTGTTCACAAAATGGCAGACACAAAATATGTATTTTGTCATATGGCAAATAGGTGAGGGTGCTCCCTGTCACCTTGTATGACAATACTTGTACCTCAGTTTACCACGGACTTTTGGGGGGGCACAAGTCAGGCAAGTGCCCAAAAAAGGGCACTTTTCCAGACAAAATACCGGACTGCAGCTATCCATCGTGTTTATTTTCTATTGCAAGAACTAGAAAAGATGCTAATGAAGAAATCCAGCAACTGCACTGTGTTAAGATGCTAATCCTATATATGGCAGAATAAAAGTTTACATCTTAAATCTCTTCCTTTCCTTCATGCAGCATAACAGGTTGAGTGCTTTTCACTTCTGGGTGGGAAGAAGGGTTGTCCCCTTTGATTATTATTGTAATGGGCCAATTTAGTACCAGCTTGTTTGCCTTTGAACCTTGCCTGATTAGCCTTCACAATATACTACAGAATAAGACATTTTCTAACTTCTCATTACAGTAACTTATGTACTTGTTTCTATGCTTCATAGCTTAGCAGTGCATTTATTCAAGACTTCTATATCTTAGCCTTCATTTTTAACCAGAGACAATTAGGAACAACTTTCTTTTTTTTTGCTTGTCTTATAGTAGAAGAAAAGAGAAACACAACTTTTGCTTTTGTCATACCAAAATAGAAACCATAGCAGCATCTTAATATATGTTCAAATATGTATCTCGATAATATCAATCTAATTTACTATGATTAAGCTGTGACAGACTAGAAGTAACACTCACCAAGCCATCCTGATCCAGAGTTGGGGATGCACATATCTGTCTCAGCACTGGGCAATACAAATCCAACCACAAAAACCTCTACCCCATCAGCCATTAGTGCCATTCCAAGGACAAAAAAGAGGGCCCACTGAAAACGTCCATGTCCACATTCTTGAATGATTAACTCATATTGCTGTGCAAGCTCTTCTTCATCGGCTTTTCTCTCTGTCTCTAATTCATGTGTATCCTTGTAAACATCTGTTGTTTGCTGTCTTAAAGCTGCAATTCCATCTTTGTTCTGCACTGTACTTGGGATTCCTTGATATTCTCCCTCATAAATCTCATCATCTTCATCATGTCCTTCAGTTGCTTCACTTGATCCTTCATCTTCATTTGCTTCTTCATAGTTTCCACCTTGGCTATAATAATCGTTTTCTTCTTCACCTTGGAATCTATTGTAAGATCTTTCAGTATACCCATCTTGAGCTCTATCTACTGCTTTGTTTGCTTTCTTTACTGCCTGCTTCTTGACCTCCTTGGCAATGTCCTGAGCCCCTTTCACTAATGAAATCCTATCCTCTATCTCATAAGCTCTATCCATCTTCTATTTATCAAGGTATGTTTGTAATACTTCTGTCCAAAAGAGCTACTTGTACTGGAAAACAGCAACAGGAGACTCCAAACCACATCCAGTTTCAAAACAAATCCTAAAAATAAGAATAAGAAAGTAAATTAAATGTTGTTCATTCTTAAGAAAATCTCACAAAAGATTTAGAATGACTCCTGCTTAAGAAACATATCTATCTACCCATTCTCTACAGATTAAAACATACTAATTTACAGATGACTAGTACAGTATAGAAATGCTCCTGCACGACACAGGCACCAGATGCATAGATAAAAGGATCAAGCATTATACAAAAGAGGAAATTATTTTTCTTTCAAAAGCGCTAAGTAACTTTCTGCACTAAAAGAAAAAGATCAGTTCAGAAGAAGATTAAGTTTCAATATATAGTTTAGAATTTCCAGATATTTGTGTACCACTTGGCACATGAATACAGATTTGAATATGTCTGAAAAATGTAAGTGAAGCATTTCCAGGATAGAATAGTACCCTACTCTTTATCACTGCCCATTCTGCATCCATTTTCTGCATGCTAGTTACTACACTCAGCAGTTAAAATGAATTACATCATTCCTGATTTGGAAGAATTAACCTCTATAATGCTTGTTTCAAAACATGTAAGCCCGACTTACTCTCAGGCTTGGATTTTAAACCCAGCTGAAGAAGTCAACTCTTACTCCCTTCTTCTTCCTCTTGCCTCAGTTTGGACATCCTTCTACTAAGAAGGGAGTTTCTCTTCTGACCCTACAACTTGCTTTCCTCCAGTATATTTCTATTGCTGAATACCAATCATTCAGTCATGCAAATGCAAAGCTATATGCAACTCTCTGCCATCTTGCATACAGTAGGGCAAAAAAGTATTTAGTCAGCTACCAATTGTGCAAGTTCTCCCACTTAAAAAGATGAGAGAGGCC